GGGGGGGGGGGGGAGGAAGAAATACAAGCTCCAGCCAAATGAGTCACTTGGCTAGAGTACAGAATAAACCTTTTGACCCCTTAGAGGGACTGGCACTTAATTTCTCCTTACAAGATAGATAGACGTTTATTAAAAATACCTTAATAGCAGCTGGAAGCTGAATTGCAAAGGTGTACAAATTATGTAATAGAAGTATACAATAAAATCAAACCTAAAAAGGAACTAATTTACATATACAATTATAATAAATGTTAGTTAAAATGTCTTGCGCTTGCTGGAATGAAGGTATCTCTGAACCGATTTGTTTTAAAGGAAACTCTGAATGGTCTGCGTCGTCGTAATTCCATAATAACACTTCTGAATCACACATTACGGTCACACGAATAAAGGAAATGATCACCAACAAAATAAGCTCTTGATTGGTTCAAATTCTTCTTGCCAGCATCTTAAGAAATGTAAATAGAACAGTATGGAGAATATGCATACTGATGTTAGGGTACCTAAGAAATTTCAACTGACCTCGATCTCAGGCTTCCTCCGTACACAGAATCTCCTCGTGACAAAGTAAATGCAGGTGATGTGTTTCCCGCGCAAGCCAAAGGAAAACAACCTCCCAATGAACTCGAGGAAAGTCCTTTAGGGACGCTTTTCTTTTTGTTTTTCCTCGTTTGCCCAGTGGGCGCACCATCGGTCACAGTCACCGAGTTACGAGACGAAATCCCACTGATGTTCGGCTGTTCAGTCACGACGTCGGATTGATTTCCCGAAGTTGCACACGTGGACGCTTCGGAAGACATCGGCGTTTCGTTATTACTCGAGTCTGCGGCAGTGTCGGTTGCTGACGAAGAGAGTAACTCATCCTGGGAGCCATTAGCGATAAACAGTGGTTCAGGATCCTCGGAATTTTCCTCGTTCGAGCTGTCAGTGATTTCAGCAGACTCTTTGACAGTATCATTGCAAACCAGTGCTGACTCAGCATCGCTTTGAGCATTGGCTTCCTTTTCAGTTTGTTTTACTGGTGCGTTTTCCGAAGGACTATCGATTTCATCTGACGGGTCAGAATTCTCAACGTCTATCGTAGCACTAGGGGACATTTCAATGCCATTTATTGCTGCAGCGTCTACAAATTCCGACTCTTCATCACATTCGGATGGTTTTACCTCACTAGTCCTTTCGACTTTAACATCTTTATCTTCAGACTGTGTTTCACAATCAGAAATGTTCCCATCCTCGGCAATGAGCGGTTGAGTACTTTCTGAGTTTCTCAAAAATGATGACAAATCTTCTGTTAAATTAGAAGAACTTTCGTTTGGTGTATCGTCTATCTCGCCATTTAAAGCAATGTTTATATCATCTAGAGCAGCAGTGCCATCTCCTTCGCCTGTCCCCTCTGTTAAATCCGTTTCTCTGTTGAGTACCTTCTCTGTTGCACGGCTTGGATCACCTTGTTGTATCTCTGGTTGATGAACACTCTCTTCGGAAACTGTTTTCGACGCTGTACTGTTCTTGTCAGCTTCATCAGAATCTAAAGAAGTTTAAACTGTTTGTTATTTTCAGGCAATATTCAAAGCTAGACAGATCTCCCACGACCCCATAAGCTGCATAGCTTTTATTACTATCGTGCTAAAATAAAGGTTGTCTGTCTGACGATTAAAAGAGCCTAAATTCGAATAACTAATAACAGAAGTTTCTCCATTATGTGGTTGAAAAACTCTGGTATAAAATCCACCCGACCAATCAGAAACGAAACAAGTGTTTTTCTTTAACCAATCAGGAATGAGTGCAAAATAGTCGTGGAATGATTTAGGCACGTTTTCCGCGCTTGGCCCTTTTTTCTTTGCGCTTTGAAATCGTCGATCTTTTGCTAACCTTTCGCAAGAAGTCCGTTTGTGGGAACGAGCGAGCGAGGACTACTGATTCTATCTTGTCCTTCACTGACTCTTTTCCTCTGAGCACTCCGAAACGCTTCACTAAACAGCTAACCAACGTGATACCTAACTATGGTCGTATAATTCTTCAACCTGCTAGCATGCTAGCAGTATAGCAGGCGAAGTATCGCTACCATCATTTGAAAGTGACTCACTCGATAGCAATAGTGTGATTTACCAATTATAAATGGTGTTCAACGCGACAAACAAACCCATCTGTTACCACAAAATGAGTTGTATTCAGCGAGCGGGAAACCACAGAGAGGGTAAAAAAGGCCTAAGAAACATTACCTTGACCATTGATTACAAGAAAACTTTCATCAGTGATATTATCAGTCTCATCCGAACCAACTGTGAAAAACATTTCTTCCATCTCCGGGTTTCTGGGGATGTCTGAAAAAACAGGTCATAAGAAATAGACTCTGTTATGACGTCAGTTTTTAAGCACGTGTTTGCAAAGGAGCGCTTTTCGTTTGACTGACTTGACACCAAAACAAAGTAATCACAATAGCAAATCACAGCCAGGGAAAATGTCGCAAGGAGCCAATGGGAATTCAGAGGAAAAAAAAAACCAGCAAACTGCACGCGTCTTAGTTTTCCAACTGATTGGTTGAGAGTATGGCGCGAATTTTTTGGACCAATCACAGAGCAAAGTTAAACAAAAGCGATGCAAACCTAGATCACTTTAGACTCTTACTAAGAACTTGCTCAAAATGCATTCTACAAACAATTGTTTCAAAGTATTAAAAACAAAAACTCTTTGATCTAATTTATATTATTAAAAGTAGAAACTTCTCACTCCAAGAAGTGAACTAACGACTGTCTGTGTCTAGAGCGAGTCGAAGGTACCTGGTTCTCTAGGCTCCAAGAAACTAAACTTGTCTTCAAATATTATTGGAATAGAAGAAGGATCTCCATCTAACAGAGGACACTCGACTTGCACTGGAGGAATACTCTGGTAATAACGAGATGTCTTCACACTCTGAGCCAAGCTTTGCTGCTGTTGATATCTGTGGGGGAATGAATGGTGACGTGTTTATCCAACCCATTTCACTGTACAGATCTCTGATCTTACTCTCAAACCAGTACTAGTCTTACTCAGCCAAATTTCTCAACTGGAAACTGAGGTAATCGTGTCAACTCTGTTCCAAGGCTCACTTGAAAAATAGCTAATGTAAACAGCTGACACAGAAAAGCCTTGAGCCAAATGTTCTCTATGTCACTGATTTTAACTCTAAAAAGTCTTGTAACAACACGCAAGCCAGTACTAGTCTTACAAACAGATGGCAACGAAAGGTCTTCGGATCCCTGTACTAGCTCAATTTAAGATTGTCACAAATATAAATTACTTACAAAAAGTGTGGCGCATTTTGAAGTTCATTCCACGGATACTCCTTGATGAAAAATGCTTCCGAAAAATGAGAGAGCTGTGAAAACAAGTACAATGAAAATACATCATCACAGCATTTAAAATATAGCCGAATAATTAGATGAGCTTTTAATCTCACCAAAGTATTAAGTCATACTATTGTATTTCATTTAGAATCCCACGGAAGTTTGCCTCTGAATTCAGATTTTACTGCAGTGAAATATCAGAAAAAAACATTGCAACTCCTCTCCTCTTGGGTAGCAGATTCCTCCTGATATTCGCTTTGACCTTGTCTTTTCTTTACACTCGCTTTCCTCGTGTCATCGTTTCATCATTCATTTCTCTACCTCATCCCCCCATTTTTTTTCAGCCTCCTCTCTCCTGTTCCTTCTCCCCTTTCAAACCACTCCTGAGCCTTTCTAAAGATTTGTACATTTTACAGGTGGGAGAACAATAGGACATGTAGTCCCCCCTACTAGGTTCATCCACCTAAACCCAACCCACCCATCCCACCATGGGAAAGGACATCTTTAATCACACAGTAATCTCATGCGTGGGAAATTAACCTCTCCCATTCCATTAAAAATCCGCACCCCCCCTATTGAAGGCTTTCCTGTAACACCCCTCCAGAAAATAAATTTTTTAACCCCCTTCAGAATTGCTTGAAATTACCCCCTTCAGAATTTTATGTGGTTATCAAGCAAACCAACTGAACCCCCTTCGGAAACTATTCGTGAGAATTTCTGTCAAGGGTACTTTATGGCGACCCCTCTCAGATATATGGTTCAACCCCCCTAAGAAAAATATAGCATTGACCCCCCTCCCCCTAAGAAATCCCAGGCCTTCAATAGGGGGGCTGCAGATATTAAATGGAATGGCCCGACCTCCCGCACAACAGTTCAGCGCTCTATCCATTGAGCAAACCGGGTGGCAACAACATACTTAATTCTTACCCGCTGTTTGTGGTGCTCTCTTCTCATAAAAGGCAAGATAGCTTTGTTGAGGCTGAAGAACTCAAGAAACTGTGACCATACTAAGGAAAGCTGTAAAACAATAAACAAGCCACAACTTAAGCAAGTCCCAAGTTTGGCAAGGGAAGCAAACTTAAGCTGTATTTTTATCCAATTCTCTACAGGAAAATCATGTCTTCCTCTTCTAGGAATGCCATGCAATCTTTACATCATTTACCATGAAAATTTCAGGAAAAATGCACGAAAATTCTTCTTTCAAAACAGTCAGACGGGGTTGAATTTCACAACACATTACTGGTAAGAATAGAATACAGAATATAGTTGACTATAAATAATAGTTGACTTGAAAAGTCCAGAGTGCTACAAACTATTGATAAGCAAACCAATCATTTCCCTTGTGGAGACATGATTTTTATCAAGACAATAGTTCACTGGATCTTCGAGCTTTCTTAATCTACCCAAACTAACAAGTTTAACTTACTTCAGAGCTAAGGTTGTTAAGGTCACTACAAACTTGAGAAAATGTTTCTTCACAACCAACTGTACCCTGGAAAAAAGAAAATCACAAAATGTTAATTAATTTTTTTTAGAAAAAAGTGTCATAATTTCAATACAACTGATTAGTGTGTAGTTGTTCTGTTGCACCATAAATACTCAAGGGTTAATTTTCTCAGGAGTTTTAATAATTTACTTCTTCTATAAGCAGCTGCTGATGGTGTACATGTATTAGTCTGCTGTGCCTAGGTGTCTGGAAAGGGGCCCTAAAGTGCACCTTCCACACAAGACAAGAGTCTACTTGCAAGCTAAACAGATGGCACTCAGATGTCTAAAAGGCAGCCAGCGGCAGACTGCATGTAACTGGCTTGTAAACTTTCCAAAGAATTCACATGTAACAGTCATAACTATTTTCACTCAATAGACCAGATGAGAAATTATGACCACATACCTCTACTGCAGTACAAAGTACATCAAGCTTTTCCCCAAAGTCGACAAATCCTGACAAACAAGAAAGATTTTGTAGCTGTTGTAAGCTTTAGGAATAATTTAAGTCTTAAACCTTCACACCCTAACATCAGTATCTGTTGTCTCCAAACTGTTCTCCATACATCTCCTTGGGTGCTGTCAAGGAGAATTTGTACAACAATCAAGAGCTTCTTTAGTTGGTGATCATTTCCTTTATTCTCGTGACCATAAAGTGTGATTCAGTGATGATTTTGTGTGGAGAAATTAGATACTGGTCACTATTAGAGGTCAAAGGGTTGGATAGAATCATTTGTGAACAAGCTCACCTGTTTGGTTTCAATTCTTTGAAGTAATATTTCAAAAAATGAGTGCGAGTGTTTCATCGGGGTTTCCAAACACGAGAAAACTATTATTGTTTTCGAGTGTTTGAAAACTCCGATGAAACACGAAGCATGAGTTTTTTAAATTGCTTCTCAATCGTGCATCATTAGCCAAGAACTATGAAAAAATTCTGACTGATTTTGGCATCAGTGGGGTTTGACTTTTTATTAAGCTCTAGGGTTTGATATTTCATCAAAGTACAGTGGAAAAGCCTCTGTCCAGTGTTTCATCGGGGTTTCTAAATGCACACATGTGGCCAAATTGGCATATCGTGATTGGTTTGTAACCTGATGAATTATTAATGAGTTTGAAAAACAATTATCTTGGTCATCTAAATATGCATTGAAGTTCAAAGGACTCTTTCTGCGTAAATCAGGCAGTAGCAAAAGACAGTAAGTCTTACCGATATCCATTCTTTGATTATCAGGAAGCAGCTCGCTCAAGCATTGGAAATAAGCTAACAGATTGACTTGGGCAGACAACAAAGTGCTACACAATGACCTGAATCAACATTGAAAAAATATAAATTAGCTCATTAGAACAGTAAAATAATATTATGTGCATCATATTCTCACAATTAGTGAATACTTGATATCTGCTTATACAGAGAGAAATGATTCATGAAACAATAGTTATCATTTTTTCAGCCACTGATTTCTCCTCCCTCACACTATTCAGAGTTATTTCCCCTTCTTGCCCACAACACACCCACCCCCCCCACCTCTTGGAAGTAATATATGGCAGTTAAGAATGCAGGGCTTGACACTGACAGTAGAAATTCAGTTTTGACTAGTGGTTTTTGATTTCCACTTCGCCTCCCGGTTAGCTCAATTGGTTAGAGTGCTGGATTGTGTTGTGCGGGAGGTCGAGGGTTGGAGCCCCAGCCGGACCAATACTCATGGTCTTAAAATAAGTGAGGAGAATTTGCTACCTTTCTATAATCAAGAATTGGATAGATATTCTAGTCTTCTCAGATAAGGACGAATAAACCGTAGGCCCCGTCTCCTGCAGGGTTAGGGGTAGGAGACGTTAAATTCCCACACACGAGATTACTGTGTGGTGGATGTCCTCCCCTGGGGTGGGATGGGTGGGAATTGGCTCTGAAAAGCC